CTCTTCATCTTATTTTCGATAAAGTTTAAGTACATATATCGGAGAGGAAAGACACACAAGTACTTACGGAAAACTCGTTTAGCGTGAAATGCGAAAAATATTTATTTTTAGATATTATGAAGCTACAGTTCATCAATCTTCTCTTAAATTAAGGGAATAATCTTTCGGAAAAGTTTCTATGACTTTGTGTGTATTGCGTAGAAAATTTTTTCTCATAAATTTGCCACCCTCGCATCTTTGGACATATCCGATTGACTCGCGATACAAGTGACCTTTTTCCGGTCGCATCTCCTCTTTCATAAAATTCGATCTCGACTCTGGACGGCTGGTCTGATAGCAGAAGTAATCTGAACGCGGAAACGAATTGTGGGATTTGATTGCAGTGAGCCTATCAGCTATAGTGTGTGATCAAATAATTTCCGTATCGATAATATAGTATAAACATGAGCAAACAAAATTCTGAATATATGAAATTATTATTTGGGTTATATCGAATTTATCCGATAATTAAACATTTGATTAAAATTTATAGATAGCAACTATTACCTTAATATTTTAAAATTATATATCTTTTTACTATCGTAAAAATTAACTGCATATAAGAAAAACTTATATTAAATACAAAAAACAAATAAACTTTTAAATAGGAAAAATATACAACATTGGATAGATGTATATAAAATTGATGGTTTTAAAGAAGAATCTAAAGGAAAACATGGAGAGAAACAAAGAGATGAAAATTAAATATATCTCCAAATTTGAAGCAATATTTAATCTTTGTCCCATTAATTTCAAGTCAAGAAATATTTATGGAAGTTCATTATCTGTCTGGTGTATTGTAATGTCCTATTTCACAATTGAAACAAGTCTATTCGCGTACCTTCCCTCCGTATGATGCTCGCGTTGAGATATCTGAGCCGCTATTGGGATAATATTGCAGCTTTGTTGCGTCTCTGGTTGAAATGACACGCCGCGATAGTCCGAGCTCTAAATTGGAAGCCGGACAGAGCGGGCCGAAAGTACCGCCAGAAACAGAAACGGAGATAGGAAGGGGGACGGGGATTGTGGGCGCTCTAAAGTCTCTCTGACGTTCCGGCAAAACGCGCTGAAACGCGAGCGAGCTTAGGGACGAGCGAGCGGCCACTCGTAACTGCAGACGACTCGTCTTCTAAACGAGAGAGAAGCCGAGGTAAAGCACCGCGTTCAGCCTCCATTTTGCGTAGACGGCTTTAACTTGGGTCTCTCTCTCTCTCTTTCTGCCGGCGAGGACACTAAATATCCAACAGACCCCTCGCAAAGCAACCCCCACGTGTACGCGATTTCACCGCTTGTCGTGAAAGCGATAATTACCAGCAGTAAGTCGGGATCTATTTATGAAACCGCGTATATAGATAATTCGGAGATACTGTGAGTCTGATGCGCCAAGCATCAGTGGAAAAATTTGTAGAGCGGCATTCAAGCTACTCGTCGAATATCTCTAGGGAATGTTTGGGAAGAAAAATTTAAATATTATATAATTATAATTCCAATATTTGATGAGGACAGGATCGTATAAAGTTATTGAAAAAATTAAGCTGAATTGAATACGTGATAAAATATTAATAAGCGAAATAAAATGCGTTATAAATTATGTTATAGTCACAACAAACTTTTTTCCGTCCAGTTTGCATAAACTATATAACTATAAGAAGTTTGCGAAAATTTCTCACTTTCCTCGCGTAAGAAATTATGGAATAGTATGCGAATAATCGAGGGGTAGAATAAACCGAAATCCAAAGAGTCGACATCAGATTGCGGAGAAGCCCGTTAATTAATGCGAGTCAAACGCGCTTAGCGCGGATGCTTTCAGTGGGCAAACTTTATTTCCCACTGAAGGATATTCCCTTTCAGAGGACGCCGCGCGAAGGAAACGAGAGGAGTGGAAAAGTGAACGACTTCCCTTCCGACAAAGTTCTTCGCGTAACAATATGGCTGGTTTACCGTAGGAACGGCGACGCTTTACCTCCGTATCTTTCCGCAGTCGCTGCCTCTACTTTAATTAATCCGCCCGTCGGTAAACAATAAGCCGTTATTTCTGACAAATTAATTCGAAAAACAATTCCGTCGGATCGCCGTCTGCGCTATCGGTGCAGCCGCCAGCTTTTATTCCGTTGGGGACGCACCTCTCGAAACGTAACGAGCATCCCTTTCATGTAATACTATACTGTACCCTATGCTTCACCGGAATTTCTAAGACCCGACCGCGTTAAGCTCCCTTAGGATCCTCTCCGAACCGCTGCTCTCCGACCACAAGAAAATCAAACGTTCGTCGTTGTCGAAGAGCAAAACCATCGCACGATAATCAACAATTCCGACGTAAATTAATGAATGGAATAATTTTTGTCTAATTTATATCTTGGAAAGAAACAGTTAAATTGTTCATAATGCTAACAAAATATGTATATTTATGAAACGCTATATCAACATCATTTAAAACTACTTTTTATTTACATGTCAAAATACGTTAAAAAATCAAATTTGATTTAATTACATTTTGAATGTGAGAGAAAATTAATTGAAGCAAAATTTATTTCAATTTTTAAGTATGTATCTAACTCTGGTTACATTCTAGTTTAACTTTTCGCGAGGCAAGAGCCGATTTCAAGTTTGCAAAGATACTTCTAAAGTTTAACGCGGACCTTACACGTCCCGTGTAACTCGATCATAATTAAGTACCGCGGGGAAATTTGCTCTTCATCATGTCGCGTGCCTCTTTTCCGCGCGCTTACGGAACGCATTTCCCGCGCCAGGAGATACGGACGGTTACGCTCAGACCGGCCAAATCGTTTTGTCGTCGCCGTGCGATCCTCGCTGTTATCCCTCGCGCAAATATTTAAGCGTACCGCGTTTGTACACTCTGGAGATTACATAGGCACAGCTCGGTTCGTTTCGTCCGACTTCATCTTCATCAACATACTGATCAAACCCCATTCCACTCTATCACGCATGCTTGTTATGTAACCACCGTACAGGGTACAATTAAATACCGTCTTTCGCCGTAAAATCGATACTTGAATGAAATAATAATAATGTAATAATCAGGAATGTTCTAAAAAGCAATCCATTCGTTTATCACTTGTCACGTATTGTTATATACGTAATATTTTTTTTTCAATATTTGACAAAAAAAAGTTTCGCTAAAATTTTGGAAAGCAAAATCTTTGTAAATGATGAATTTTGCATTTTTTATCGCTCTTTTACAGATATTATATTTATTCTCTTATTTTTCAAGTACTCTATGCAATTTTTATTGTGAAATCTATAATATTTTATTTAAGTATGAATGTTAATTCCTAAGGATATATTGTGCGTAGTTAAAGTGTCTAGGGATGCTGGAAATTGTACGTGCCAGTATATTGTTATATCGGCACAAGGCTCGGCGAAGCGCGATTGAAAGTCGAGATATATCTCTCAGATAGTCTGATACTCCGCCCAATCTCTATCTTCGCTATCACGATTCGCGTTTCGTGCGCGTTCGGCGAACTTGGGACCGTTTCAGAGAGCTTCCGTTGCGGATATTCAGTTTGATAGTTTGAACCGGATATTCGACGCCCGTCCTCTGGAACAGCGAATGGAAACGGCGAAAGGGTTGTAGCCTAGTGGCGTAGGAAGGGCAGGGGATGGCAACGGACGGCTTATAGTGGCGCGAGACGCTCATCTGCATTTCAAATTGCACGCCTGTACGAAGATTTGTTACGCGCACACGTTCTTTCTCCAGAGCGTGGATCCAAACGTGTGCAGCATCGTCTGGGAACGCACGATCGAGCAATAATTAATGGATGCACGAGATGTGTCACATTTATAATTCACTTTAATCATACGATAATAATTATCGTATAATATTATCGCATAATTATTATGCAAGACTTAATACTGCACTTACTCGTAAATCAGTTTTAGTGGATATTATTCAATAAATATCCAGAATTAAAAAGTGATATGTGATAAAAAATATGTAAACGATTTTTCTCACATCATCGATTCATTTACTTGTATGAAGAATTAAAGACTATAATATTTATCATGTAAGAACGCATGATATATTCTTAGCATATTGATTAGAGTAAACTTTATTCCCGCGTTTTATACACGTATATTTTCACCCTGGCTGGCGGACGCGCGCGCGTTACATATACACTTGTGTATATCAAAGACGTCACCCGCGCATGTCGTGATTGTTTTCGCCCGCATACATGTACGCCAGGGGATAGCGTGCACATAAGACGGAAATTCCGCTGGATAGCTACGGGGGCCTACGTTCTTCTCCTTCCCCTCCTGTGGTGGAATTGAACGGCCACGGATTTACGGTAAGCGCCGCGCAAACGAAACGAGCGGAAGTCGACCGTGCTTCCGGATCAGACGGCTAGGCGAAGGTTTGCACGCTGCGGGCTCTCTTGTCCCGATTAAACTACGCGGAAATCCTATCCAGGAGCAGACATTGTTATACATGCGAGAGCGCGTTCGTTCACGTATTTGATTAATCCGAACGAAAATAGTCTTTTTTATGTAATCACGGAAAATGAATTTCTAGATTATCCGGCTCATCGCGTGATTTTGGCTAATTAATTTTAGATCTAGCATCTGTTCGCCTCTTTCTTCCTAGATCAAACATTTTTTAAATATTGATAAATAACGTCTCATCGTTTTTTTTTTTTCAGAGAATTTATCTTTTTGGGGACTTAAATAATTTTAAATATAAAATCCGATTATTTTATTTTATATCTTTTATATTCTTATATTTATTTTATATCGAAATTTTCTCTGCTATAATTTTATATAAGAAACCCAAGTATGGTAGGTTAAATGTCCAGATGAAAAACGTCCGTATGGATTCCATCGTCGCGTCGCCGTGATAGAACCGATCGTTTGGAGAAATTCATGGTCGGGTATTTTCCAGAATAGCGACCGAAACTCTCTTCGTCGTCTGCGCCCCCGAGGCTGCGATATCGATAAGAGCTTACCTTCCCGACTCCGGTGAGCTCCTTTACACCTATCCTCCTGAGAAGGGCAGGCGGTGCCGGAGGTGGTGACTTGAGAAGGAGCGCGGCGTATCCATTGGGAAAAATGGGCAGCTCGTCAGATCCGATGTTTTCGTCGCCGGAACGTCGTCTCCGATGCGGACTCGACGACAGATTCAATTTCTGCGCTGCTCTGCAATATAAAAATTCTTTTTGCACTAAATATTACACACAAAGCAACAATTTCGAAGAAAATTGAATTATGTTATTATTGTACATTCCTTCATTAGTCTCTTATTTTTTTAACATTATACACATCGATGCAAATGAAATATTATTATTTTCATGTATTATTCCCATTTCAAATATTATCATCAAATTACACATTACATCTACGACTTGAGATATATCGAACGGCCATAACAAGTCAAACACTCGATTCTCTCGAACATCCGAACACGTTAGCTCTCGTCTCGATTTTTTTTAGACGCTGTTTATCTCGACGGATGCGTAGTGGCCGTACCTGCGAAAGGGTCGCCGCACTCCGGAAGGTATGTGTCTCGGGGGCGACTGGGTGACATACTCCGCGGGGCGGGCCTTGGTAATCAGCGAAGGTAATGTGCCGGAACCCCCAACCGCGCGGGGAGGGAGGAGGGGGAGGAGAGGGTGCATCGAGGTAGCAGGCGCGTTTAAAGGGACGCGCCGGGAACGAGAACGCTATATGCCCGACCCGTCGGCGTCAGTTTTGGCGGTGGGCAGGGGAGTTACGCAGGGTGGTCGCCCTAACTTCTCTTCGCCCCTCGTGGGTCTCGTTAACCCACGCTCTGTGAAATTGGAAATACCAGCGACCTCTCGCGCACTCGTTCGCCCTCGAGGTCGCCTCCTCCTCTCTTTCCCTTTATTGTGAAATCTATAATATTTTATTTAAGTATGAATGTTAATTCCTAAGGATATATTGTGCGTAGTTAAAGTGTCTAGGGATGCTGGAAATTGTACGTGCCAGTATATTGTTATATCGGCACAAGGCTCGGCGAAGCGCGATTGAAAGTCGAGATATATCTCTCAGATAGTCTGATACTCCGCCCAATCTCTATCTTCGCTATCACGATTCGCGTTTCGTGCGCGTTCGGCGAACTTGGGACCGTTTCAGAGAGCTTCCGTTGCGGATATTCAGTTTGATAGTTTGAACCGGATATTCGACGCCCGTCCTCTGGAACAGCGAATGGAAACGGCGAAAGGGTTGTAGCCTAGTGGCGTAGGAAGGGCAGGGGATGGCAACGGACGGCTTATAGTGGCGCGAGACGCTCATCTGCATTTCAAATTGCACGCCTGTACGAAGATTTGTTACGCGCACACGTTCTTTCTCCAGAGCGTGGATCCAAACGTGTGCAGCATCGTCTGGGAACGCACGATCGAGCAATAATTAATGGATGCACGAGATGTGTCACATTTATAATTCACTTTAATCATACGATAATAATTATCGTATAATATTATCGCATAATTATTATGCAAGACTTAATACTGCACTTACTCGTAAATCAGTTTTAGTGGATATTATTCAATAAATATCCAGAATTAAAAAGTGATATGTGATAAAAAATATGTAAACGATTTTTCTCACATCATCGATTCATTTACTTGTATGAAGAATTAAAGACTATAATATTTATCATGTAAGAACGCATGATATATTCTTAGCATATTGATTAGAGTAAACTTTATTCCCGCGTTTTATACACGTATATTTTCACCCTGGCTGGCGGACGCGCGCGCGTTACATATACACTTGTGTATATCAAAGACGTCACCCGCGCATGTCGTGATTGTTTTCGCCCGCATACATGTACGCCAGGGGATAGCGTGCACATAAGACGGAAATTCCGCTGGATAGCTACGGGGGCCTACGTTCTTCTCCTTCCCCTCCTGTGGTGGAATTGAACGGCCACGGATTTACGGTAAGCGCCGCGCAAACGAAACGAGCGGAAGTCGACCGTGCTTCCGGATCAGACGGCTAGGCGAAGGTTTGCACGCTGCGGGCTCTCTTGTCCCGATTAAACTACGCGGAAATCCTATCCAGGAGCAGACATTGTTATACATGCGAGAGCGCGTTCGTTCACGTATTTGATTAATCCGAACGAAAATAGTCTTTTTTATGTAATCACGGAAAATGAATTTCTAGATTATCCGGCTCATCGCGTGATTTTGGCTAATTAATTTTAGATCTAGCATCTGCTCGCCTCTTTCTTCCTAGATCAAACATTTTTTAAATATTGATAAATAACGTCTCATCGTTTTTTTTTCAGAGAATTTATCTTTTTGGGGACTTAAATAATTTTAAATATAAAATCCGATTATTTTATTTTATATCTTTTATATTCTTATATTTATTTTATATCGAAATTTTCTCTGCTATAATTTTATATAAGAAACCCAAGTATGGTAGGTTAAATGTCCAGATGAAAAACGTCCGTATGGATTCCATCGTCGCGTCGCCGTGATAGAACCGATCGTTTGGAGAAATTCATGGTCGGGTATTTTCCAGAATAGCGACCGAAACTCTCTTCGTCGTCTGCGCCCCCGAGGCTGCGATATCGATAAGAGCTTACCTTCCCGACTCCGGTGAGCTCCTTTACACCTATCCTCCTGAGAAGGGCAGGCGGTGCCGGAGGTGGTGACTTGAGAAGGAGCGCGGCGTATCCATTGGGAAAAATGGGCAGCTCGTCAGATCCGATGTTTTCGTCGCCGGAACGTCGTCTCCGATGCGGACTCGACGACAGATTCAATTTCTGCGCTGCTCTGCAATATAAAAATTCTTTTTGCACTAAATATTACACACAAAGCAACAATTTCGAAGAAAATTGAATTATGTTATTATTGTACATTCCTTCATTAGTCTCTTATTTTTTTAACATTATACACATCGATGCAAATGAAATATTATTATTTTCATGTATTATTCCCATTTCAAATATTATCATCAAATTACACATTACATCTACGACTTGAGATATATCGAACGGCCATAACAAGTCAAACACTCGATTCTCTCGAACATCCGAACACGTTAGCTCTCGTCTCGATTTTTTTTAGACGCTGTTTATCTCGACGGATGCGTAGTGGCCGTACCTGCGAAAGGGTCGCCGCACTCCGGAAGGTATGTGTCTCGGGGGCGACTGGGTGACATACTCCGCGGGGCGGGCCTTGGTAATCAGCGAAGGTAATGTGCCGGAACCCCCAACCGCGCGGGGAGGGAGGAGGGGGAGGAGAGGGTGCATCGAGGTAGCAGGCGCGTTTAAAGGGACGCGCCGGGAACGAGAACGCTATATGCCCGACCCGTCGGCGTCAGTTTTGGCGGTGGGCAGGGGAGTTACGCAGGGTGGTCGCCCTAACTTCTCTTCGCCCCTCGTGGGTCTCGTTAACCCACGCTCTGTGAAATTGGAAATACCAGCGACCTCTCGCGCACTCGTTCGCCCTCGAGGTCGCCTCCTCCTCTCTTTCCCTATATATGTATATGCGTATGACGTTATCAGCATCATTACATTATATATATAAAACTTTTATGTGTATGTGTAACGTAATAATGCTCTCTTTTTTTATAACAAATTAAAAGAGAGTTGTAAAATAATTTTGAGTAGTTTTAAGATTAAATTGCAAAACATGACAAATAATTAAAAAATTAATCTTTCAGTAAACACTAGAACTTGAAATAAATTTCTGCGGAGGAATCAAAAAAAGAGCACAAAGTGCGAAAAAAGGAACAATTTCAAGGTTTATTATAAAATCAGTTAAACATTATCAATTCTGTCTCGGCCGATCGGGGGGATACGCTTGTAGCTCGTGCAAATCGTGTAAAACCTTTAAGGCAATTAGAGTACTCGGCAAATATCGCGCAAAAGCTTTCGGATGTTTTTTGTTCGGGTGCAGCGACGCCGAATTCGTGTAACGTGCACGGCTCGTCGCTGCCGCACAACATCCATCGACAAACGGAATGTTTTGCCGGCTTGTTTAAAAGGATTGTTTTCGCGCACTATCAACGCTGTTGCCCACAATAAACGGCAGCGACAGAGGAAAAAAAAACGACGGCGAGAGATCCATGAGGTCGCGCGGCTCGTCGTGCCGTTTTAACGAGCGCAACGACTGCCCGTTCGTCGGGTAGCGTTGCTCTTCGGGACT